CGATGGGCCATTGTTTATTTTCTGCATACTGTGCTGTTTTAAACACCAGCGGTTGACGACGTTCATGGCGCGGGTTCTCGCCTCTGCCAAGAGATGACGCTACCCGCGTGGCGTGACATCCCTCGCCCTAAGAAACCCAAGGTCCACCTTCGTTCTAACAGATTCAAATGCAGCTTACTGAAATTTTTGTAAATGCTACATTGGCCCTATTGCGCATCGACTTCTTACACAACTCTCGTCGTCACGCTCAGAGGGCGAATGAAAACAGCTGATATGAATTCCCGGCCACTGCGGAGTTAGAAGCGAAGAGCTCGCCCATGCCTCGGCCCGAGAATTACTCTTCCGAATCTCCGACCCCTGCATATCGCACCCATTCCCGGCTTTGCGTATGGACCCGCTCCTAACATACCTAGATACTCAGAACATCAAAGACTCGAAAGACAGAAACTTCCGCCCCCGGGGTCAAAGCTCAGTAAAAAATCTCGGGTAGCGTGGCGTCGCCTGCAGACCTTGCCTTACCCCAATTCATACATACTGTCCAAGTTAGATTCGACACATACGCACCACAGTGCAGGTTCTGCGTCAATAAAACAGCCACCCTGTACCACATGGTATGGGAATGCCCACACGATCCGCCTCTACAACCCAGAGCACAGCACAACACTGCAGGGTGGGAGGCAGCTCTGCCCAGCTCGGATCTGAAGACCCAGAGGCCCCCATGAGACGAGCGAGGACAGCGGCCCGTGCCAATGGGATCCCGGACTAAGGAGCCCATGCACTCACCGACACTCCTTCCTTGGTCACAAATAAATGTTTTATTCTCTCTCTCGCTAACGCACACGTTAAGTGATTCCCAATACGTCTCGGACGGTAACAGAAAACGATGTCGTTTATATGTACTAGTGGACAGTAGGGTGTGGTGCTGTACGGTAGTGTAAAGAGTGCCCATGCGAATATATTGCCTGATGCGCACATGCTCTAAACACGGTTCGGTTTTGCCTGTGTACCCACAAGTCAAGGATGTATTTTCTGCCGTAATAAAGCCTTTAAATTTTATACAAAAGACGTTTTTCCGCATTTATGCAGGTCTGAGTGTTTAGTCCTTGATGTGCTTCTACCGAATCTTGCTTATTTGTGACAAGAACAGGATATTTTGAAAGGGTCAAGAAAACGCCATTAACTCCTGTAACCTGGAACGTGTTGCCGCTTCAAGTTGTATAAAAATAGAGTGTCCGTAAAAACATGGCATCACAAAACAGTCATATTTCTTCTTTGGACAACGAATTGCATTCTATGAAAAAAAAAATCACGCCATCTCCACGGATTGAATGTTGATGAGTGGGCGAAGCTCTAGAGGGAGGAGATCATCGGTAGACCGTAACTCTCCCGTGAAAATTTAGCCCATTACATCATTAAATAAAGTAAGACTCTACGTATGTTCTACCAATCAACTTTTATTTTGTTGTTGTTTGTTTGATGTTTCGTTTGTTTGTTTGTTCTTTTCATTTCTTCGTTGTCATGGAGGCTGGAGAGCGACGTCCTTCATTATTACGGCTTTCGGTCCGTGATATGAAGCAAAAGAGGCTCTCATGCTGATTGCAATGTTAAATTTGCAAACACCAAGTGTATGCACGTCTCTCGAATCGTCGCAAGTTGCATATGAATACATTTGAGTGCGTATTGGGAAATCATGTGCTGCACGATGCAGACATTGGCAATGAGGTCCATCCGCCCGTCCGTCCGTGCATTCGTCCGTTCGGCCGTCCGCCTATGCGTGCATCCCTCCATGCGTCCATCGGTCCGTCCGTGTGTCAGGCCGTCCATGCGTTCGTGCGTCTTTACGTGCGTCCATTCATGCGTCCATCAGTGCGTCCGTGCGTGCGTCCGTCCATGCGTCCACCTGCCTGCCTGCCTGTCTGTCCCTCACACTAGCGTCATCAGCTAAGGGAGTCATACAACTACGTAGTTACGGAGCGGTCACAAAACGCAATGCATGAACAGACCCATGGTTTTAGGAGCTTCGCCCCCCTAAAGAAACCTTGTGCGACTTGTACGAAGTCGCACAAGTGTTTTTGTAGAAGACGCAAACTCCACTCTAGTACCATTCAACTGCGGGATACCGCAACCATCGTTGACCCACTTCTGTTTTTGGCATTTATTAATGATATACTCTGCGACATGCCCGTTAAAATAAGACTTTTTGCAGATGACTGCACCCTTTACCATGTCATCAATTACCCTAACGACCTGATAACCCTAAACAAATCCCTCGATGCAATGCACTCATAGCGCTCGATGTGGCAAATAAACAATAAAAAAAACTCATAATGAAATAATTGGAAGCGCTAACAAACGGGACACAAAAGAAGAGACAAACAAACCTTCTGCAATAAAAAAAAAACTGTCGTAATGAGAATCACACGTAAGAAATGTCCCTTGCCTTTCACCTATTCTATTACCAATAATAATATATATCTCGTTCGTAGCTATAAATACCTAGGTGTTATAATTACACCCGCTTTAAGGCGAAATGATCACATAGAATACACGCGAAGGCAATGAAAATACTCGGGTACTTACGAGGAACCATTGGCAAGAATACCAAAGAAATTAAATTATTGGCGTACAAAACGTACGTGCGGCCCATTCTGGAATACGCGTTTGCTCTATGAGACCCTCACACATTAGCAAATAATAAAAAAAATGGAATCCGTACAAAAGAAATCCGTAAGGCTTATTTACAACGCTTAGAGTAGAGGCACGTCCCCTTCAGCCCCCCTGGAAAGTTCCAACTAGGAAAGTTAAGAGCACAGGCGCGCCTGTGAAAGACTGAAAATATTTTATCAGATATATCACAATAACCTAAAAACTGATGGAGGCACATATATTCAACCACCGAATTGTGAGCAACACGGTGAACAACAAATTGTGAACAACATAGCAAGAAAGTAGAAGAATTTTCAGTAAAACAACTACTTTCCCAAAACCATTCTTTCCTCGAACAGTGCGTAGTTGGAACGCACTGCCCGATGAAGCTGTATCATCCAAAACTATATCTTCATTAATGAATTCATGAATGCGATAGCGAATCTGCCTTCCATACCTTGATTAATTTGTTGTCAATAATAATAATAATAATAATAATAATAATAATAATAATAATAATAATAATAATAATAATAATAATAATAATAATAATAATAATAATAATAATAATAATAATAATAATAATAATAATACTATTATTATATTGGCCCTGCATCTAAATTCTTCTGTGTGTATGAGTTGTATTGCTTTGCTATATTAAGCTCTAGCTCTTTGTATGTTACCTTGTCCACACTTGTTACTTTTTGCTCATTAGGACAGTTAGTCATCTTGTTCCTTTTCGCTCATTGTTTTGTTGTATCAGTAATTTGTGTCTTTTTTTAGACAAAGCTCGCTCATTCTGTCCAAAAGGGGCAGAACGTGTTACATTGACTCATCTTTTCAATGTTTTTAAGTTAGAACTCTTCTAGATTTTGTTTCCACGATGCATTGTTTTTGTTATAAGTCATTCCTGTTGATTTTTACCGTTGTAAAATGTAATATCAATGTATATATATGTACCCACTGCTGCCTAAGACTTCGCATAGAAGTTGGCAGTATTGACTAAATAAAAAAGTCACAGCTTTGCCGGAAAGGTGAAGCAATGAACGCGATAGCAACGAATTGAAAGGTCACGCGCAGAATTGAAATCAGATCAAAACATGCCCCGCGTTCTTCTCGCACAAAACGTATTCATAGGTACGGGTGCACGTGAATAAGCGTCTCATCTGTTACTTTGCTGTGTCTGAAAAACACGCGCTTTTCACAAACGGAGACTTCAATGATTGGAGTGACCTTTGTGCACCAGGTAACTACAGCAGAATCGTTCCAGGTAAAGCCCGAGGCCAGCCAAGGCGTACGACCTTCCCCTCCTCACCGTTGCGATATAATAGCGCGGGAGGGAGCGTCCCTCACGCGCCGTTATCTCGCCGGGCGAAGTACGAGTAGGAGATTAGAGCAGGCGCCGCCGCGCGATGTGGCGACGCGCGTTCTTTGCGCCATCTTGGCGGTAATGCTGAAAACACAATTCCCTCCGAGATACTCGGGAGCAGCGATAAGTGGTAGATATGCCGTTTGAACGGTCAAGGGTGTGCTCCGGGGTAGCTCAGTGGTCATTCTTTCGTCGGCACTCACGCGCGTCGGACGCAAGGATCATGTGCTCCGTAGGAGCGGCGTTTGCGGCTCATACTAGCCGCGGTAACATGACCGAAGACCAAAATGCAGGATACGAGATTATTTTGCCACCACTGCCGAAGGGACGTGTCCCGCAAAACACTGTGTTTTTACACGGTGATGTGCGTGGCAGACCGTATCGAGTAGAAGATTTCCGAGACGCGCTCGGACCTACAGGACTGCTGCCGGAGGTGTTGGCACTGGGGGCCTACCAGATAAATCATGTCTGGGCAGTCACCATGAACAACGCGGACGCTACGAGACGCTTGCTGCACATGAAGGAGCTGAAAGTCAAGGGTCGACGCTGCATCATCGTAGACCCCCAGGATCAGCAGGTGCGGCTGCGTCTTTATTGGCTGCTGTATGGCGTCAACGATGGAGACGTGCGAACGGCGTTGGCGGCGTTTGGGAAGGTCGTACAAGCCACCCGGGAGCATTGGCGTGTTCAAGGAGTCAGCGACAAGGGGTCACCCACACGGTCCGTGCTTCTTAAGCTCAAGAGTGGCGTGAAGGTTGAAGATCTCCCGCATCAAATCTGGGTGGCTGGTGAACTGGCCGTTGTGGTTGCACCTGGTCAGCCGGTGCTGTGCCTGCGCTGCCAAGGTACCGGCCATGTTAGAAGAGAGTGTAAGGTACCCCAATGTTCGCGTTGTCGGCGGTTTGGCCACAGCAAAGATGAGTGCATGCGCACGTATGCATCGGATATCGGATCAGCTGAAGGTGAAGACACAGCAAAGTTGGTAATGGACGCAACCGAGACTGAAGACGCAGCGAAAGGCGCAGGTGACGTGGTGAACCCAGATGCTTCAACAGGTACAGCCACACCGACTGGTGGTGATGGACCAACAATACAAGCAGACATAACATCTGGGGAGGTAGCTCAAGAGCCAGACGGCCAAACCGAGGAAGGCTTCACAAGCACCTCATCGAAGGAGCCTGAGCCGGTGGAATTGACTGAACTTCCAGTGTTGTGCGAGAGTACCAGTAGTGGGGCGCCAAGCAAAAGACCCCGCGAACAGTCTGCAGGACGGCGTGAGGTGTCCAGTGAAAAGCATGAAGAGGGGCCACCTGCGAAGGCGACTTCGTTCCGACGCAGCAGCACAAGGCTGCGTCCCAACCCGATATTGGACAAACACTGGCCACCTTTGTCTTCCAGTGGCACGGATCCATCTGGAGGCTCCGAAGATGTCTTGCTCTATGCTAGACGCTGAAGGTAAGCTTCATGCCCCGGGCTAACTTCTTCACTGTGTAGACATGGCTTTTGCACCGAAACTTAGAGTGGCAACGTTAAATGTTCGAGGTCTTGCCGCCAAGTGGAAACAGAACCAAGTCTACAGGCTGCTCGAGGATCATGATCTGGATGTACTAGTTGTGCAAGAAACAAAAGTAGATGGTGAGGAAGAGAGCCGGGGCATGGTGCTGAGGTTTACGGCGCGTTACTACGCAGTTGTACGTCAAGCAATAGGCAGATCTGCAGGCTGTGTTTTGTTCAATAAGAAGTTACTGGGTCTGGCAGTGCAAGATACCTTCTCTTGCCCGTTTGGTAGATTGGTTTCCTGTGATTTTGTATTCAATGAATGTCAGTGGCGTATTGTGGATATTTATGCACCAACCATTTGCGAGGAGCTATCATTTTTTTTTCAAGCCTAAAGCAGCACTTCATTTTGGAAAAGAAATCTGTATTACTTGGTGATTTTAACTGCGTCCTCAATGGGCGAGATCTATCAACCGAACGCGCCATTTACGATAAAAGTAGTAGGACGCTAGCGGACATAGTTACTGAATTCGAGTCAGAAGACGTGGGCAGCTGTATGGAGGGAACGCGGGATGTGCGTTTCACACATTTTCAGGGGAATAGCCATGCACGCCTTGATCGCATTTACGCGTCGCTTGAATTAATAGGCCACTGCAAGACATATTATGTCTACCCAATACACTTCAGTGATCATTGTTTAGGTAAATGTGATATGAAAGAGAATATAAAAAGTGGAACTTTTTCATTGGAACTTTGTAAGATGAATTCCACTTTGATCACTGACGAATATTTCTTAGATCAGGTAATGAACTGCATCAATGAAATAAAAATGGATGATGAAGCTAAACTTGCAAAACAATGGGAAGAGTTCAAGAAGCGAATAAAAATAAAAGCTATTGATCATTCTTGCGCATTGAGTTACGATAGGAAAAATAAAGAAAAAGAACTCCGAAAGACTTTGGAAAGACTAATTGACTTGAAGTGCAAACAACCGGGAGAGTATAAAATTGACATACGCAATATTAAGCAGAAACTTGCACTTAATGACGAGAAACGCTACCGCGGTGCACTCGTCCGTGCTAGGGCTGAGGCTTTAGCGGCTGGAGAGACGCCAACTAAAAGAGCGTTATGGGTGGAGAAAACGAACGCTCGACGGAATCATATCGACAAAATAGAGAAGGATGGTCGTGAAGTAACCGACACCGACAGCATTTTATCCGTATTTTCAAGTCATTTTGAAAACCTTTTTGCTTGTAGACAGGTAAACCTAGAAAGATTTAAAGAAGAATATTTAGGACGCACGCCACAAGTGAGTGAGGAAGTGAAAAACGCTTTAGAATTATCTACCGCACTGACAAATGTAGACTACAAAATATTAACGAAAATTTTGGCGGCTAGACTTCAGTCAGTAATAAAAGATATCGTTGGTCCACACCAAACGTGTAGAAACAAAGGTCGGTCCATAGTAACAAATGTTTATAAAATGCGATCCGTGCTCGAATGTGTTGACGTCAGTCAAGCTCGTGTGGCCATACTCCAGCTGGATCTGGAGAAAGCGTTTGATTGCGTTGCCCACGCTCTTTTGTCTGCACTATTGGAGCACATTAATGTTGGTAAGATAATTATTGACGGTGTAGCCATGGCACATCGAACTGGTAGTACGAGACTAATTATCAACAAGACATTGCCCCCCCCCCCATTAGTATTGAGCGCTTAGTGCGTCACGGTTGCCCTGTTAGTCCACAGTTGTTTTGCATCTATATTGAAACTTTATGTCGATCGATATTGCAGAAGGACATCAATAATGGGTTTAGAGTACAATCTTCAGAGGTCTAACTACTATCATATGCTGATGATGTTGCGATTTGTAGCACTTCCTATGAAGTTATTGAAGAACCAATCAGAGTTTCTAAATCTTTCGCCGAAGTTACAGGAAGCCACATCATCATCATCATCATCATCATCATCATCATCATCATCATCATCATCATCATCATCATCATCATCATCATCATCAGCCTGACTACGTCCACTGCAGGACAAAGGCCTCTCCCATGTTCCGCCAGTTAACCCGGTCCTGTGCTTGCTGCTGCCAATTTATACCCGCAAACTTCTTAATCTCGTCTGCCCACCTAACCTTCTGTCTCCCCCTAACCCGCTTCCCTTCTCTGGGAATCCAGTTAGTTACCCTTAATGACCAGCGGTTATCCTGTCTACGCGCTACATGCCCGGCCCATGTCCATTTCCTCTTCTTTATTTCAACTATGATATCCTTAACCCCCGTTTGTCCCCTAATCCACTCTGCTCTCTTCTTGTCTCTTAAGGTTACACCTACCATTTTTCTTTCCATTGCTCGCTGCGTCGTCCTCAATTTAAGCTGAACCCTCTTTGTAAGTCTCCAGGTTTCTGCTCCGTAGCTAAGTACCGGCAAGATACAGCTGATATATACCTTCCTCTTGAGGGATAGTGGCAATCTACCTGTCATAATTTGAGAGTGCTTGCCGAATGTACTCCACCCCATTCTTATTCTTCTAGTTACTTCAATCTCGTGGTTAGGCTCTGCGGTTATTACCTGCCCTAAGTAGACATAGTCTTTTACAACTTCAAGTGCACTATTACCTATCTCGAAGCGCTGCTCCTTTCCGAGGTTGTTGTACATTACTTTCGTTTTCTGCAGATTAATTTTAAGACCCACCTTTCTGCTCTCCTCGTCTAACTCCGTAATCATGAGTTGCAATTCGTTCCCTGAGTTACTCAGCAATGCAATGTCATCGGCGAAGCGCAGGTTACTAAGGTATTCTCCATTAACTCTTATCCCTAACTGTTCCCATTCTAGGCTTCTGAAAACCTTCTTTAAGCACGCGGTAAATAGCATTGGGGAGATTGTGTCCCCCTGCTTTACACCATTCTTGATTGGTATTCTGTTGCTTCCTTTATGAAGCACTATGGTAGCAGTTGATCCCCTGTAGATTTCTTCCACAATGTTTATATATACTTCATCTACGCCACATAAACTTGGCTAAATGCCTCGCCTTTTGGCATGAATATTGGCCTTCAACACCAGAATTTTTGCGGCCATTAAATGGACAAGTACGCCAGTTAAATATCTCGGAGTACCGCTCGAGTCATACAAAAGTACTGATGAATATTGGAATCAGCAAACGAAAGAAATTAAAGAGAAAGCGAATAGGTGGAATGCAACTTATCTGTTCATGTTTGCTATAGGGCTACTGCATGCAACTAGTTTTTTGTGTCTAAGCTGTGGTATGTGATGCAAGTGCTGTACTGTTCCCGGGTCAATGTGGAAAAATTACATCGGGTGTTTGCAATATTTGTGTGGGGGTCTAACTGGGAAAGGTGCAGTCACACGAATTTGTTTAGACGGGTGAAGTGTAGAAGCCTTATAGGCGAGAACATCTGTTTATCAAGCAGTTAGTAAATAGGTTTTTCATTTTTCGCGAGAAAAGAGATCCTTTCGTACTAACAGTGTGTCAAAGTAGACTGTTGCCTGAGTTTGTAGTGAGCACTCATGTTACCACAGGGGCTGTGCAAGGATACATGAAGAATGTTGCGGCCAGCGTGCGGTTTTTTGTGTGTTCGTTTTTCAACTGACTACCTGTGGTCTGTTGGAAAGAAAAAAAAACTGTACAAAGATTTATGTGACACTATGCTCCCCATCCCACTGTACAGAGTGCTATATACAGCACGCAAGGGTCAGAATGTACTTAAACGAGTAAAAAAAAAAAATGCCAGCAGCTCCAAGTGCAAAAACGTTCTTTTTTAAATTACACACCGGAACACTTCCTGTAAGAACTTTCCTTGAGGAAAGTGGGTTTGATATGCCTTGGGGATCTGATTGTCTAATCTGTAAGAAACCGGAAACTATTCACCATGTTTTCCTGCACTGTTGGGAAGGAGTTTACTTTTGAGACGTATTACAAAGGACAATCAAAAAAGAGTTTCCGTTAGATCCTCATGAGATCAGGTATTTGGCAATAGAGAATGAGGATGGATGACTTTTCGATTTTATCATGATGACTGCCTTGCACAGTATAAGGTGCTCTGGAATGGCTGGATTTCACTGTGACCCAGACAGGAAACCAGCAAGAGAGTATTTTAAAGAAAGCATCTCAAGACTACTCGGGGTAGTAAGAACAGACGAATGTGTAACTTTATGGGTAGAAAGGGTAGAAGCCCTACTGACCATGAAGGAATTCTAGGACGTGATGTGTTATAGCAATGCTTGACTGCCTTAGTTATTTTTAAGTTTTTTGTATTGCTCGTTGTGAATTGTAATATAATTATCTTAGCAACCCGTTTGTAAAGGTTAATTATATATAAAGAAAAGTAGCTCAGTGGTTAACGCCTCGCCTTCACGACGCAGAGGTCCCACGTTCGATTCCATGTGCCGGAGGAGTTTTCTGGATTTTTTCTTTCTTGCCTTTTCATATATGTAGATAGGTATACATATACGGTGCATGACATCGACGCTGACGCCGGCGGAAAAATCCAGCCGAAACTGTCTCTAATTGCTATCGCAATAAAATAAATAAATGATACTTCACAGCTGAGCTGCTAGGCGCTTCGCTGGTCCCGACTCAGCTAAGCTTTTACCCTCTCATCTGTATCTTTTCCTCCCCAATCGCTATACACTACATGGCTATGGTTCCTTTCATTCTGAATTCGTTTCTTGAGCCTGTGTCTTTCAGTCTTTTTCCACACG